TACAGAGATGCAGAATGGCAATGAAGGGGGAGTTTCTCAAGAAGTGTAATCTCTGCTGTGCCTTGATAAGTGCAGTCTCTGGACCAGGAGTGATTTTCTGAAGCTTGTATACCAAGAAACTCGAAGACAGGAACCTTTGCCACACAGTCTCCATCAATGTGTATTGGGTTATGATATTTGTTGTGCCTCCAGTAATCTATCATGAGTTCTTTGGTTTTGGTAGAGCTAAGGGTTGTTCTCTGTATCCCATCCTGGGGCTTCATCTACAAAGGCTGTCACATCTTCTTCTGAGATGTGCCAACCACAGTCTTCTCATCATCAAACTTAGTTGTGGTTTGTGGAAAATTGATTGGGATGCAGAGGGTAGAGAGGATGTAAAAGGAGGTTCAACACACAGCTTAATAATGCTGGTGTTCAATGTGACAGTGAAAGACAAGCAGGGGCCTAATCTAACCATCGGGATGCGATTAGTCAGAAGGTCACTGATCCAGTGGTAGACAGGTGTGAAAGTTGTAAGCCAGTAGGTTTGGTGACCAGATCGACAGTAGTGAAAGCTGAATCTAAGTTTACAAAGAGTATCCTTACATATCTTCACTACTGCTCAAGATGGCATAACGCAGTATACAAGGCAGTGGAGATGTCTTGGTGCATGGAAAACTACTTTTATCACATCTCTCTTTTTTTCACATAACACAACAAAGAGTTAGACCCTCTACATCATGACAACAAATACTTGCTTCAGCCCTGAAATAGGAAATCTTATTTATACCTGCATGACTGCATGAGACCAGCCAGACTCTGAAAGAAGCCCACGTCCTTCTTGTCCTTCAGATAATCTAACATTTTCTGTTAAAGATGACACAGTGAAAGCACAATAAGATACTGGAGTTTACTCAAATTTGACAAAAAACAGTCTACATCTGTCATTAAAATAAAAATACTGGTGGTGGTACCCCTCAGCCTCCTAGTAGATACACCTACAGTATGTATTTCAAAATCGTACATCCCCTTCTTCTCAAGTTATCGGATTCGCAAGGTTTTCCAAAAACCTGATCTCTGACTTCTAACTTTGAGGTCAAGGACACTGAGATTCCAACTTGTCCTAGATTTTTACTACTCCTATGTTATCAGTGTCAAAGTCCTGGATGACTTACTTCTCAAATTATCACATTCACAAGACAGAAAACTTGACCTCTAACCTTAACCTTCAGGTCAAGGTCAATGAGGTTCAGACTCATATGAGATTTTTAGTAGATCTGTGTGGAAGGGTGGGGTCTGTGGCTCAGTTGCAGGGGAGGGGTGGTGCAGTTGGTTTAGAGGGCAGTGCGATGGGAGACTGGCCAACAGAGTTGGAGATCATCAGGGAGGCCCAGATGGCAGCACTTAGCCTTCTGGTTGTAGCAAAAACTTACTTTCCTGATGTCCATTGAGTGATCCTAGACCTGCTTCACCACCCTAAGACCACTCCTGTTGGTTCTGGATGGAGCTGAGGGATTGGCCATTTGCCTATGCCAGGTGGCTCCATAAGGCGGTGGCCAGGTGCCTGCAGACTGGCCCAATGAAGGGGAAAGGCTGCTGAATATGCGAACATTGGAGAAGTTCACGAGGTGACTCACAGTGGAAAAAGTGGAACGGGGTCCATTTTCATGTGATACTGGCTGAGGATCACCTGGCGCCGCTGGAGCTGGTGTGGCAGCCGCAGCTGGCAGCAAGTTGGCTTGTCCGGGCCCGGAGGAGGAGACCCCGTGAGGTCCCACTGTAGCCAGCAGCTGTAGTGCACTGGCTGCCAACATTTAATGGCACCAACATGTAATGACGCTTCTCCCTGTGTGGGTTCTCTTGCTTCCCTCAACAAGAGCAGCACATTTGATGGGACAGGAGTGCTGGAGTTGCGGCTGGGACATGTCCACTGGAGTGCCCGCTGATGGAGATGGGGCGAGTGTTCCATGTCACTGGCCCTCTAGCGACTTCCTCTGGTCCAGGAGTATACAGTACTCTGGTAAGGTGCCAAGTGGGTACAGACCGGGCTATGGTGGACTCGGGCTCCATGCGGGCACACCCAGTTGATGGTGCAGAAAAGCCATTGAGAAATGATCTTACAGGCAGCTCATTATAACCCAATTACTGGTCACATGCAATAAAAAAAGGGAACAAATCATGGCCTGTTTTTTTTTTTTTTTTTTTGGCATTTGAGGGGATGTGCGCCTGTGGTGTGCATCCAGCCCAGGATACCAGCTATCGAACCAGCCGGCCATTCCAAGAGAGCTGTTGTACTCATTACCACTAATGGAGGGTCCATTTAAGTGCATTGGCATGGATCTCATCTGGCCATTTCACCATAGTGCATGAGGGTATGACTTTTGGTGGATTATGCAACAGATATTATGAAGTAGTGGCATCCTGGAAGAGACACTGATTGACCAGGGATTCATGTCTTGTACACTAAAACTGTTTAATTACTGTCCATCAAATATGTTTGGCCAAGCATCCATCACCCTCAGAATGACGGGTTGGTAGAGCGGTTGAACTAGACATCCATGTCATCCATGTCATCCATGGATGACATGGATGCATGATCATCCATGGATCCATGGATGATCATGCATGGATCCATGGATGATCATGCATGGATCCATGGATGATCACACAAGGCCAACATGAAGAAGTGTGCGGTTGGACAGAGGGAGGTACAGTATCTGGGGTACCACCTGGGAGGCAGGCAGTTGCATTCTCAAATGGAGAAAACTACAACCACTGCAAGCTGCCCACATCTCTGGGCCAAAAAGGAGGTGAAGCGGTCGCTGGGGCTGGCTGGTTACTATTGTTGGTTCATCTCAACATTTGCGGAGGTTACCAGTCCCTTGATTGATCTCCCCTAAAAGGGTGAACCAGATCTTGTCCAGTGGACGGAGCAGTGCCAGACAGTGTAAGGTAATGAAGACTTTTTCTTCCCTTGTGTTCTGCAGACTGACACGTTGAGCAGAGTGCTGGGGGCTGTTTCATCCCAGCAAGTAAGAGGGGTCGACCATCATGCTGTCTACATCAGTTGGAAACTCTCAGAACAAGAAACCAGGTAGAGCATGGCGGTGCCTGGCGATCCAGCGGGTGGTGGACTCTCTTCGTTAGGTAATAACGAAGAATTACCCTCTGTTCAGATCGTGCCCCGCTGCAGTGGCTCCACCACATGAAAGATGTCAATGCCTAGATCACCCAGTCACATCTGGCTTGCCAGCCTTATAAGTTCAAGGTAATCCACAGGCCAGGGCCCACATAGTCGGGGCTGATTTTCTCTCCAGGGCTATGTGGTGGGCCGTGGACTGTGCCTCAGCTGCGGGGGAGGGGTGGTGCAGTGGGTTCAGGGAGCAGTGCCAGGACCTAGAGGAGGGACAGGAACTGAGAGCAGATGGCTGCGCATGAGGAGGCACCTTCAGTAAGAAATCTGGTGATAACAACCCGGTAAGGCTAAATTGTAAATAAAGAACAGTGCATCTTAAAACACTGTGTGTCTTGCTGGGCAACATAACACAAAGGTGTGTTGCAGTACACCATAGTCAATTTTAGCCCTTACGTCGCTGCATTCTCAAGATTTTCATAAAATTTGACCTCCGAACCCTGACCTTGAAGCCAAGGTTAGTGAGATTTGAACTCATCTGATATCTTTAATAGATACACCCATTGTGTCAATTTGCATCGTTCTCAAGTTCATTCACAAACGTAGGTGTCCACGTTGCCTGTCCACCCAGGGTGATGACAAAACCTTTTACTGAGAGGTAAAAATCTATGAGGAAATTTTTAAATTTCAGTGGAATAGATGCATTATATTTCACACTTGTACCAGTTACTTTGAATATGCTTTGTATAAATAACATTTGAAAATAGATAATATAGCTATAATCCAGCAGTCAATATAAATAACAGTGAAGTCGCGAAGCATTACCTGCTGTACGGTTGAGTTCCCACCATTGAGAATAGCTATGCCCAGTTTCAGAGTGGATGCCACCATGGGACCCATCTCACCTGGAGGAGAGGAACACCCACTTGAAATGACTCACTAGCATTTGTTAGCTTTTTAAATTTGTTTATAACAAAGAAAAATTGAATTCTAACACAAACAAAAACTTTTATTATTTTACTAATATTTTTTTGCACAGCATATTTTTAAACCAGAATGTCAGAGAGGTATTAACACATCCTGATTATTATCGGTTACAGTTCACATATTGTTATAATGTGAGAAGTACAGAAAAAATCAACTGAAAAATCGAGGAGGCTCCCAAACAGTCGTATCCAGAACAAATTACTTTCAACACATCAATGAGTGAGCAGGCATAGGGATTGGATAGCCTGGTTCTATCACAAGGGCCATAATATATTTGCCACCGCTGAGTTACAGTAAAGAGTAGGGGGCGATAGGCAAGACTTACCTTTACTAGCACTGATGGTTTGGAGTACCATCTCAGCAGCGCCACGGTCGTGCAGCCGAGCCTGCTGATACAACAGCTTCTGCTTCTCCATCTCTTTTTCCTTTGTTAGAAAGGTGACACATATCATTGCAGACCATCAAAAAATGAAACTGCTTAAAACTTGAGGAGACTAGTGGAAGATTCAAGACCGATTGATCACCTACTTCAAAACTCTTCACTTCTCCATCGTCATCCTCTTCATCATGGCAACTCTGAAGGAAGGGAGAAAGGTGAAAAAAAGCATACAAACTACAGACTGTTTACTTAGGATAGATATAGCCACA